AGTTTCAATATGTAAGATAACTCTTTCTGCATATTGTGAGTCAGTAATTATATTAAGAGGTTCTTTAAAATCCCTTAGCACCATAAGAATGGCAAATAATTCTGCCTTCTGGACAGAATCATAAGGAATTTGTTCCACCTTACTCATCTGATTTATAACGTGCCTTCCCTGATTTATTAGCATCAGTATAAAATGTGTGGGCTCCGGTTATTGGAGAATCATCGACAATTCGAGGAAAAATCCAAGAAGTTCTCTTTATAAAGTTAAACCTCTTGCTTTTTGGATAGTTATTATTAATTTCTCCCAAAAAAAATTAGCACAAGATCTTTGCCATGGTTCATTATCTTCCCATAACTTTTTTAGTTCATCAGCAGTGAAAGGCACTATAATTTCTGCTGGGTCTATGCCTGCTAGTTGATGAAGTCTCAATTTGCCTTTTATAATTAATTCAGAGACTTTTTCCACATAAGTATTTAGTTTCTTACTTGGTTTATGTGGTAAAAAGATTCATTCCAAGATAATAGCATCTCTCTGCATTAAAATCCTGTAGGAGAAATTTTGGAAGATAATATGATGAGAATACAACTGAGCTCTGGATTCACCCTGTCCACATGTGCCTCTTGAAATTTTTCCTCAATCATTGTCAGTTCTTTTTCTGCTTCAGCTGTTAATTCTCTGAGACTGTTCAAGTCTTTATCACCATCCAAGGTTTTGTTCAAATGAATTATTAGATCAGGTGTTATCCCAATAGCTGGTTGTAGGCTGAAAATGTTTCCTAACAGTCTTTGAAAGTCATTAAGAGTCTGTAGCCGATCTCTCCTAATTTGTGCCTTTTGTGTCTTAATTTTTTGCAAACCTATTTTATAGCCTAAATAATTAACAGAATCTCCTCTCTGAATCTTTTCAGGAGCAATCTGCAATCCCTATTTAGGTAAAACTATCTTTATTTCTTCAAACAGTCTGTTCAAGGTATCCATGTTTGAATCAGATAACAGATATCCATGTAGTGATAAATTATACATTTGGGAAATTGCTTGCATATTATTTCCAATGGTTGATTTACAAAATATTGGTACAGGGTGGGGCTGTTTAACATGCCCTGGGTGAGGATGGCCCACTGGTATCTCCTCGAAGGTTGAGAATTATTATAAGTAGGTACTGTGAAGGCAAACTTTTCTCTATCTTTTTCTTGTAAAGGTATAGTGAAGAAACAATCTTTTAAATCAATAACTATGAGAGGCCATCCTTTTGGTAATAAAGAGGGCAATGGAATTCCAGATTGCAGAGGGCCCATAGGTTGAATAACCTTGTTGATAGTACTGAAATCTGTCACCATTCTCTGTTTATCAGATTTTTTCTTAACCACAAATACAGGAGAATTCCAAGGGCTGGTAGATTCTTCTATATGTCAAGCATCTAATTGATCTTGTACCAGCTGTTCTAAAGCCTGTAACTTTTCCTCAGCTAAAGGCCATTGCTTTGTTCATATTGGTTTCTCAGTCAACCATTTCAGAGGCAGGGCTGTTGGTATCTCTGAAGGGGCATCAATTGCTTTGTGTTCTTGTACAGCCCAAATGGCCAGTTTCTACTGTCTTTTAATATTTTCCACAGAAATATAGGCTCTAGAAACAGCAGAAATGTTAATTTGGGTATTCCATTGCTGTAATAGGTCACTGCCCCATAAATTCACTGCAATATTGGCTACATATGGCCTTAGTTTTCCTATTTGTCCTTCTAGTCCTATGCATTCAATCCATCTCGTGCTTTGGAACCCTACTTGAGATAGGGTTCCAATTCCCAGGAACTGAACATTTACGTCCTGAAGAGGCCAATACGGATGCCAAGATTCTGGAGTAATGATACTTACATCTGCGCCTGTGTCCAGTAGGCCAGTAATAAAAATGCCATTTACACACTCTTAGCTTTGGTCTTTGATCACTTATAGAAGTCTGTCAAAATACACGTAACTCATCCTTCAGGGCATTATTGCTTGTAACAGCAGGCATGGGCTTTCTAATTTTCCTGATGAGGCACGTTCTCTGCAATAACCGGAAATGACTGGACCACATCCGCCATGGGGGCCTGTGAGAGGCCCCCATTGCATTTCCCGATTGTAACAGGTTGCCTAGTCTATCTCTTGTTGACTTACACTCATTCATCCAATGTCTGCCTTTCCCACATCTCCTACATAAACCTGAAGGCTGGGTCCTTCTATTTCTGTTATTTCTAGAAAAGGCATTTCTGGAAATCCATTGTCTACAATTCCTTTTCATATTTTGCCACAATTAAAACATTTGGTATCTTGATGCCTTCTTTTACCATTGGAAATTGCTTCTTCTACCCATGCTTCAGTGCCATAGTCAAATGTATAAACATTCAGTGTATGCAAGACCCATTCATCCAAGGGTGCTGATCTGATCTTTAAAGGACCCAAGATCCTTTTGCACTCCATATTGGCAGACTCATAAGCCAAAGACTCAATAATTATATGTCTTGCTTCTGGGTCAGATATCCCTAATTGTACAGCTTTAGTTAGTCTTTGTAAAAAGTCACTAAAGGGTTCTCTCTGACCCTGTTTAACTCTGATATATGATTCCATTCTCTGTCCTGGGTCTTGAACCCTGTCCCAAGCCTTTAAGGCTGCTGAAGTACATATGAATAAGGTGTGTTCATCATAATTAGCTTATTTCAGAGGATCAGAAAAAAAGTCCTTCACCTAGAATTTGATCTTGGGAAATCTCAATTCCCTTTGCTCTTTTCTGCTGTTCTAAAAGTCTAGCCTCTTGTATGAATAATGAATACATGATTTTAATAAGCTTTTATATAGATCATTTAGATATAAATTACCAATTTTAATCATTTTTCTGTAAGCTTGGGTATATGTGGCTTAGAACAAACATTTCAACTTTACTTACATCTGTCTGTTGTAATAATTCTTCCTGCTTTAATAGTTATTTATTTTGGTGGTGGGGGAATGGTATTTCCTGGTACAGTTTTGTAAAGGGATAAAGGAAGTCCTTACTGCCATATTCCTAGGATGTCCAGGAATTCTGTGCTAGATTTTTTGGAGGGGTTTCAGAAAATACAGTATGACATTTTCATTAAACAGTCCCCTCCCCATTAGCATGGTGTTAAGGTGTAGTGAGGTATCAGGGTGGCCATTTTCAGCCTGGTGCACATGAGTATGTGGCACACACTCACACACACATACCCTGCATTAACTTGCATTGTTCCCCTCCTCCCTCACTCTGTCCCCAATCCCTGGGACAGTCTGGGTCAAGCCTGCTTTGCTGATTGTCTTTGGCTGGAAAGGGACTATCGGTGCCTCCACAGGAGGTGCAGAGGGGGTTTCTCTTCTGTGGTCTAGCCTTGGTACAAATCTAAAACCACAGAGTCCTCATGGGTGCCCTGGGTGGGGGCTCTTGGGGGTCAAATACATTTGGAAAATATTAGACAGGGTGACACAGAACTCCCAGTGAAGTCTTTTTAAAGATCCTGGTTCAGGCTCATTAGGGGTCTTTAAAGGGTTGTGCCAGTCTTCACCCTGGGGTGGGGGGGTTACCTTGTTGCCTTTGATTTCCCTTTTGTGCATGTGTGTTTGTGTGAATGCTTTCATACACACATACATGCAGGAACCTGGGAGGCCAGAGGACAGTGTAGGATCATGGAGTTGGAGTTGCCAAAGATGTGAGCTCTCCTGTTCCCTAGGTAGCTTTTAGGAACCAACCCAGACCTCCCCAACACATCACTCTCTCAATCCATAAACTGGTCTTTTACTTTTTAAAGCATACAATTTACTGAGTCCAGTTAGTGCTACCCATGAGTTTGTGTCTGTGGGGCCATCTACTTGAACAAGGACAACCTACTAGTGGCCACATGCCAAAGAAAAATGACTCTTCTTCCCCCAGTGGTCAGCCACCTCTAAGGCATGTTGAATGACACAGAGAACTCTGGTGCATCTGTAGGCCAGAGCCAGCTCCCTCACACACTGTCACTGCTGCTCACTGTCCCTGGGTCTCAGCCTCAGCCCCATCGATTACATGGGCCATGCTTGTGCTTTCCTTGGGTGTGATACAGTTCCTGCTGTTCTTGATCTGTGACTTCTTCGGCCACACCACCTCCACCTTTCACACCCACCTAGACCCTTGGTCCACAGGTCACTCAGTGCCCACATCTTTCCTGGGCATGTCACTTTCTCAGATGTAACCATTACCTTGTGCTCTTCCCCATGTTCTGGAAGTATCCAGGAGATGGTCTTTGTGTCACTAATTAGATTTTCCCCATTCCCTCTCTCCTTATCAGACTCTTGATTTCCTCCACAGATGCTCACCACATCAGGAAATCACTTTGTTCTTTTAATTGATTCTTGGCAGTTACACTTACTAATGAGGGCCTAAGTCAGCTCCTGCAGCTCCCTAAGTGCGGGACTGATGGATGGGGTACCAACCTGGCCTGCTCTCTTCTTCTTATTCAGGCAGTCCTAACAGATGAGGACCCCCACCTTCACAACCTCATTATCCTTAGTTACCTCCAACTACTATAAGTTAGTATTTCTCAGCCTTCCTAATGCTGTGACCCTGCAATACAGTTTCCCATGTTATGGTGACCCCCAACCATAAAATTAATTTCATTGCTACTTCATAACTGTAATTTTGACACTGTTATTAATGTAAATATCTGATGTTTCTGAGGGTTTTAGGTAAACCCAAAAAAAGAGTCATTTGACCTTTAAAGGGGTCGCAACCCACAGGTTGTTCTCAACATAGCATAAGTGGATTAAGCATTTCTCTTACTAACTCATGATAGAGATTCAATCTCAGCATAGGTCTTGGTGGTAAGACCACAGCAATGCCTATGGAATTCTATATGTATGTATTTTAAAAGTTTACCCAGGAACTGTAACAATATATTTTATAGTATCAGTGGCATTTGGTAGCAACTTCACAATAAGCATCCTTTTTTAAAAAGAGATTTTTATTTTTATGTATACAGGGCTCTTACTGAATGTATCCTGCAGTACAGAAGAGTACACCAGATCTTATTACAGATGGTTGTGAGCCACCATGGTGTTGCTGGAATTGAACTCAGGACCTCTGTAAGAGTAGCCAGTCTTCTTTACCATCTCTCCAGCCCCCAGTGTCTTTCAATCAGCATGGAAGAAGTACGGTTTCTGTTATAAGTGGCACTGGGTACCTTTGCTTTAAACTTTAAATGAAATTAGCCAAGGGTCAGGCCAGTATCCTGGGCTAGAAGGAGAAAAAGCATCGCCTCTGTAAGGTCTCATCTGAAAGGAGCTCGCAGATAACACCAAAGTGAAGAACTCTAACCTGGAGACAGTTGGTGCAGCTGACAGGTGATTATCATTTGCCCTGGAGTGGGAGGGAGGCACTGCAGACAAAGCTCATTTGAAGCACTGCACTTGACATGGGTGCTACAAGCAATAAGTGTGTAGCATTGAGCATATTTGCTCCTTGCATTAAATCCTTCTATTTCTGCACCTTTAGTTTATACTCATCCTAATATCAACATCATTTTCTAAGGCACACAGACACCAGCAGCTTTGTCTATAATTTCCAAGATGCATGTACTTTTCCATTGCAAATCACCTGTGAACAATGTGTACAGCATTGTGAGCTGGTACCCCAGTGCTGGACCAGCTGTGATGGGTTGACTTGCCCGAACAGGAAGGGCCTCAGAGCAGGAACATGAGGGAGCTTGAAGGCAAAGATCAGAGGCCTCGGTATGTGACACAGCAGCTGAGCATGTATCGGGATTTCATCTGCTAGTCATGCTCTTCTTGAAGTTCCTATTGGAGGTTCAGAGAAGTCCGTTCTGAAAGAGAAAATGTTGACGAGAGAGACTATCAGGGAAGTTGCTCTTTTGAGGGTACACTGAGGTTCCCCCATTTTAGAAAATACCCACACTTAGATATCAGACTAGGTATGAAACCCACAGGGTGGGGAGAGAAATGGGCTTCTTCTCCTAAAGGTTAGGGCCAAATGGCTTCCTCTTTTAAATTCCCCTTAGTGATATAATAATTTTCTCCTTTACTTAAACCCAAGTCCCAAGCTCTCCAGTCTCATTTCTCTCCCCAATCTCTCTTTCCATTCTTCTCCTTCAGGTAAAACCCTTACACATCCATCCCTGTAATGTCTGAAGTTTATTTAGAACAAAAAGCTTTATTGTGGTGTGAACTTGTGCCATAGTACACACCTGGAGGTCAGAGGACAACTCTGTGCATTCTGTTCTCTCCTTCCACATTTACATGGGTGCTGGGGATTGAACTCAGGTTGCAAGGCTTGCACAAAAAGTGGCTTTACCCATTGTTCTCACTAGCACCCCCATCTGTGATAAGAGTTTGAGTATTATTGGGAGGCTCTGTCCAGGAATCGCAGCAACTCAAACCTTCTGCAGGTGTTACAGGTTAGAAAGAGAGTGCTCAGAGGTGCCTTGGTGGGGTCACTGCCACAGCTGAGGTCTTCATTGTTATTTAGGTTCTCTGCTGTTGTGAATTGCAGTCTGGTTTTTCTTTGGCTCAAAATGTCTCAAAGGGGTGCATGAACTGTGCCTTCTGTAAAGGCTTACTAGACTGAGGACACAGGGAATTCTTTGCCTGCAGTTAATGTAAAGTAAAAAGGGCCTAACTGTGTTTCGTTGATGGGCTCTGGGTTCAGGGCAGGGTGGGTTTCTTTGGCTGGCTCTGGTTTCAACCTAACTTCTTACCCAAACCCACTAGGCCAATTTTTTAACTTTTGTCACCTCACATTTTTTCTTTTTTTTAAATTGTGTTCATTGAGCTGTATAGTTTTCTCTGCTCCTCTCCCTTCCTCCCCCTCCTCTTCTACCCTCTCCCTTGCTCCCAATTTACTCAGTAGATCTTGTCTTTTTTGACTTTCCATATAGATTAGGTCTTCATTGTTATTTAGGTTCTCTGCTGTTGTGAATTGCAGTCTGGTTTTTCTTTGGTTTGTGTCTAAAAACCACTTATGAATGAGTGAATATTTTGTTTGTCTTTCTGGGTCTGGGTTACCTCACTCAATATAATGCTGTCTAGATCTATCCATTTGCCTAGGCTAAGATTCTTAAACCTCTGATCACAAAAAAACTTGGCCTGCCTTAAAATTCTCGGTCTATTTGCTTATGTGTAAGGTCTTCATGGGCACCTACACCTCTGACTTTTTCACTTAACAACATTTTCTGTTTGAACACCCAGATCTTTGTAAGCCATGCTGCCTAGTACACATTTTTGCTATTGGATTTCCACTCCTTCCAGGATTCGAATCCACCACCCTTGGCCATTAGCATACCTGCTCCAGGAATCTCATTGTCTTCTGCTTGCACTGTATATCCCTCTCCCAGTCTTTTGACTTGGACCTTTTCCCTTCCCTTAAAAATTTCTTTGGAGTGAGCCAATCACCTGATAGATTTTGAATGCATTTTACTGAGGATCCTGTTAAAAAAAAAAAAAAAAAAAAAAAAAGACAGGCCTTTACAGGATCAACCTGGCTTCTCTGTGAATTTACCAAAACCCTCTGAGCCTCCCCATTGTGATTCTCCTCCTTCCCAGGTCAAGAGGGGATTTTTTTCAGGGGTAGAAGCAGAGGTGGGGAAATCTGGGTTTCTCTTTCAGATTCAGGACTCCATAAACCCTCCAACATATTGAAGGGGCGGGGCATAATCATAGAGGCCTGAAATGACTCATTGGTTTCTAGCTCCACCTATGGAAAACTCCAAAAAACGCCTTCCAGGGAGGCCTTTTTGTTTTTGCTTCCTGATGAGCTGTGAACAGGGCACTATCTTCCCATTTAGCCCTCTCCAGAAACCAGAGAATCAAAACAGTGGGCACTTACCTTGCCTCATTTTCTGCTTGAACAAAATTCCTTTGGCCTTCCCACAGGTCACAAGAAGTGTAGGAAAGAGAAAATCTAAAGTGTCATCCTTGGACATTCCTGGAGTGAGAAAACAGACAGACCTGGGTAATTGGCAGCTGCACGGACCTTGAAACACCATAGAGTTGTAACAAGAAACATGGCTCTGGCCAGTGCCTCTGTCATGAGGCTAGAATCTCAGAAAGATGAGGAATGGGCTGGATCCAGCCATCAAAGCCACGGCTTTAATCCTAGACATATCACTTAGCAAATTAAAGACTCACTTGACAGAAAAAGAGATACAATAAAGATAGTTTTAGGCAAAAAAAAAAAGCCTCTAAACAATTTACAGTGTGTTTAAAAATATATGTAGACTTTGGAAAGAAACAAAGAAGGATAAAGTCTTTAAAAGGAAAAGAAAAAAAGAGTAGTTGGGTGTGATGGCACATACCTTTAATCCCAGCACTTGGGAGGCAGAGACGTGTGGATTTCTGTGAGTTCAAGGACAGCCTGATCTACAGAGTGAGTTTCAGGACAAAGATACACAGAGAAAATCTGTCTGAAAAAGCCAAAAATTCAAAATAAAAATAAAAGAAATGAGTTTAAAATGAAGCCACTCAAAGATGGAAAACACAGAGAGTCTTGATACTGTATGTTATTATGCTCTCTTTGAACTGTCTGAATGCTGAGGAAGGAGCAACAGCTCCTAAAAGATATTTAATATTTATTAAATGCTGCTGAATTAATCCAAGATAGGTATTTTGAAAATACCTTGACTTCAAAATTGAACTCAAAATGGATGTTACTTTGGAGAAGAGATTTTGCTTTTGTTGCCACAGGAAATGAGAGGTTGTGTATTCATTCTGGGTCAAGTAAAATCAGGTTTGATCAAAAAAGACCCCCTGAGAAATCTGATAGGAGTGGATGGCCCAGATGTCTGAGTTCTACATCCAGAACAGATTCAAGACTGCTGCCTGAGATAATCAAGCCTCACAAGATACTCAAATCAGGACTTGATCATAATTCTAAATTTTCTTTAGGTCCCCATAATGTTATCAGCACCCCCAATCAGCAGGAAGTAGCCTAGAAAAGTATGCCCACATTCCCCCCAAATGATTTTTGCCTGGAGTAGTCTTTCCTTCCTGGATGAAACCAGGGGGAGGCATAGCTGGGTGAGAAGGACTGGGATGCTAATGCCGGATCTCATTGATTTGCAGTGAGCCTGCTTGCAGCTCACCAACTCTTGGTAAAGAGGACAGATGGTTTGATGGAGATGGTTGTGGTGGGGGTAGGGTCTGTGGACTTTTCTTATTCTCTTCATAGGCAGTAACAACTGGAATTAGCAAAGGAACACACATCAAGACCCTGGAAGTTATATGGCAGATGGGATTGCATAGTGCATCTTTTCCCACAGCACAGGAGGCAGAGTAACTGATTTTCCTCATGTGCACAGAACGGGTTCATCACCACCCATGTCCATTCTGTGGCTGCTTTTGGCTTTTATTTCATTTGGACACTCAGTGCTATTTAGTCTCTGCTATATCACAAAAAAAAAATGGGCTGACCATATAGAAACCTACTACTGTAGAAGCTCCCTCAAATGTATAAAAATATAAGTGGAATGTAAACAAAATCATTATACAACAGAGGAGACAATGCCCTGATAAGATATCATATGCTACCAAATAAAATGCCTGGTTCCAGGAATGTGTCACATCTTTATGAGTCATTGGCCAAAGGAGTACCAGAGGTTCCCTTGCCCCAAACATTACAGATCATTGCGAGTGCTGTTGGTTACTCTCCATAACCTGCCAATAAGAGCCTGTTGATGGGGGCTGGAGAGATGACTTGGAGGTTAAGAGCATTGCCTGCTCTTCCAAAAGTCCTGAGTTCAATTCCCAGCAACCACATGGTGGCTCACAACCATCAGTAATGGGGTCTGGTGCCCTTTTCTGGCCTGCAGGCATACACACCGACAGAATATTGTATGCATAATAAAT